TCTCTCTCTCTCTCTCTCTCTCTTTCGTCTCTCATCTCGTCTCTCTCTCGTCCTGCCATCCCCTTTTCTACCGAATGGTCCCTCTAAAGTACACACGTCTGGGCAACGAGTATGATGTACAGCCAGCACGTAGAATAACTTTCATAGCTGTATTACTACACTTACGTGTGTGTGTGTGTGTGCATAGGGTGTCTCTGAAATTAAGGAATGATTCTATCTACTGGAAGGAGGAATGATACGTTTTCACTTCGAGTGAATCGAGTTTGAAAAATTGTCAAATATATCTTGAATTTGATTAACCATAGATTGGAAATAGGAGTGGACAATCGATAGGATTGTTCCACGGGCGGAATCGTGTTAACAACTTGTCGAGCAAAATTTTTTGCAAAATTGAGAGAATTAAATTTGGAAATTTAATTGTCAAGTAGACGTGTATGAAACCAGTTCCTAATTAAGTCTGTCTTTTTTTTTTCTTCTTTCAAGTCTGTTAACATTAGAAATGTCAAAGTGATCAATTTGTTGTTGCATTGTATTTTGAAAGAGTCGAGTAGTTCCTTCTTAGTGGAAAATAAAAGTCCAGAGATTAGAAGAAGTTTACAATGCATTTATCTCTTCATTTCTTCAAAATCTACGAAACATCTACAAAGAATTCCGGCGATGAATCTGATAGTCTTGACATCAACTAAAAAAAAAAAAACAGTATTGTTCCTTCTTTTCCACTGATGGGAGCAAAACTTCAAATACACCCTGTACATGCGAATATATACCAAGAGTAAACGGGCACCGTGTATACCTACGAAATGGTCGAGCGACGTGGAACATATTCGTCTCTAGGCCCTCGCGGAGACCCTTTAAAAGCCTTTCCCTCGAACCCGAGACCGCGCGACCATTCGCGAAACTTTTCTGACAGCCGGCGCGCTTCTCGCTTGGGAGCAAACAAAAGCTTCCAACGAGAAGCGAGGAACGGGAGATCGGTGCTTTCCTAAATCGGCCGACGGTCTGGGCCGACTTTCCCAAATAGAGTTGGTGAACGCTTTAACAAGGTCCGGGGGATGAGGGGGCAAAGGCTGGGCTTTAATCGAATTCGTTTTCCTCGCAGAACTGGGAGGTGATGAACACCGCGGTGTTGACGGGTCGTCAAGTGTCCCAGGGGATGAAGGTGTTTATCGTGAGCCAGGCTGGAACTGTGGCCGACGTTACGTTGCAGTCCTCCTGTCACTCGGAGGACGAGAGCGTGCTCAAGGTTCGTGGCTTTCCGCTCGCGAGCGAAGAAATCGCTTCTGACACGCGGCGTTACGTGTTATGTTTTTCAGGTGTCGTCCTCGTGTAGCAGCGTGTACGTGGATGGCACGGAGATACGGGGCTCCAGCAATGCGTCAGTTCTCGTTAAGTACGGCACTTACACCGGGCTGGCTAAATTCACCGTTTGGATGCCGGAATTCCCTCTGGAGATGACCGTGGCGGACACCAGATTGAGTCAGATTAAAGGCTGGAAGGTTCCCGAGGAGCACGCCGTAGGCACGAAGAGCAAACGCAGCTTGAACGCCACGAACTCGCGGCAGAACGACTCGAGGACCAGCAAGAGGAGCGCCACCGAATTGGAGGACACCTCGATGGACATCGAGGACACGGACGTGATCCTCGAAGAGGACGAACAAGAGGAAAGGTTCCGAGGGAACGATAATGGATGGGACGCGATTAATTCCATAGACAGAGGGCCCTCTACCAACTGCAGACTCCGATTCCAACAGAGCCCGATCGAAGTACACGCGAGATTTTTGGCCACCGATCACGATTCCGGGAGGGTGTCCTATTTCGTGAACCGTCGTACTTGGTTGCGCGTGACCGATCTGGTGAACGGAATGCTTCGCGTGTCCGACCCGAGAATCGCTGACTTGCTCCAAGGCAGGATTGTTCAAGGTCGCGGAGTAGGTAGAACGGAAGTGCAGGTTCTTTCGCCGATTACGAGCAAAGTAATCGGCGCGAAGGAGGTGCGAGTGGTTAACGATCGAGTGGCGGTCACCAGGCTGTCGGTTAGAGTGGTGTCTGGTTTACAGCTCACTATCAGTCCGGACACTGCTATAGAGAACGGATATGTCGCAGAGACGTCGGTCACGAGGAAACTCACTGCTCAATATCAGGTGAGGTATAGTTTCCTTAGGACAAGATTCTTTCAACCAAGCCAGAAAAATTAGAAACGACTTTCTATGTATTTCCCTTTACATCTCGAGTGTTTTGGATTTTCCGGGGAAAGATTTATTAATCTTTTAAAGAATGAAAGATACCTAAGAAATTAGCAATACATTTTACAAATATATATCTTTTGATATATTTGTCTTAACACGTGTTATCTTCCATCTTCTAACAAGTAAATTTATTATTTTATCATCGATTATAAAATTATCCATACAGTACTTAAAGAGTTAATATTATTTCTATGAGAATTTTATTAATACAACTGAAGATTAGAACGTGGAATATTTCTTGGATTTACTTGAAGAGCAATTCGTATATTTCTGTATCGTAGACACAAATTTACATTGCACGAAAATCGCAGTTTATTTGATGATCATCAAGATACTTCGGCTGCTAGTACAACGCTAATTAATTTTTCGCGCGGAACATAGGAGGGCTTGCTAGACATAGACGTGGAATTTTCGGACGGTATGAGGACACCGCTGCGAGAAATCGCCGTGAACGACTACCATTTGTTAGTGGAGAGCCTGGACCCGGAAGTGGTGGCGTTTGCGCCGATGGTCGCCTCTCATCATCCTCGGGTGATCGCGGTCGGCGAGGGACGGGGCGATTTGTTACGAGTCAGCCTTCAATTGGCTGACGCTTGTCGCCTAACCGGCAGGAGGTCTGGCAAAGGATCGCAAAGAACGACCGCGGCAGCCCTGGCCAGCGCTTCCGCCAACGTCGAGGTGGACTTTGCCTCGAGCGATCTTCCAAATCGACCGGAGTTCGTGCAGAACGACGGGGGCGGTACGGTCGGTTCTCATCATCACAGGGAAAGGAAGACCAGCAGGGGAGAAATATCGCCCGACTTGCGTGATATTCTCATCGGTAAATAGACCCAGTTCTCCTCCGACGGCATATGTCACGCACTGTTTTCGTTTCGGTGAATGCCACTGTATGTTTTGGTAGCGCTTTTACACCTAGTAAACTACTTCCATTTCCTCCGATTTCACTGTCACCGTCGATGTGGCAATCTTGCGTAAATTGGATCATCTCATCCGGATCGTTCAACCAGTTCGTGCGATCGTTGTGAGTTTGGGATCAACGGAGTAATTTTCTATCCTGCCGATTTTGCGATACAAATACCATATTTTTTCTTTCTTTTTTTTTTTTTTTTTTTTTTTTGATGGAATTGTTTTATTAAAGGCAACGATATATTTACTTATAAACTATCGCGCCAACTGCGTTCAATATAATCGCACGTTGCTCCGAATAACTAGAAAAATCGATTACACGCATTTATTGGACGACCTATATACACTGCTTCTCTCTCGCTTCCCACTGCCTTTCGTTTCTTCTTTTTTAAATCTCCGTTGCTCGTGATTCTGCCGTCGCTTAAAATCCTCTTCATCGCTTGATCCTTAATCGCTTGGCGAACTGATGGGTCCGCAGACTGTAACAGACGAGAATCCCTCGACCTGTCAGCTTCGACAGTCACTCTTTCTCTCTCTCTCTCTCTCTCTCTCTGTCCGTGCATGACGCGAAGCGTTGGTGTCGCTTCTCTGCAGGCAGCTGGTCGTCGTGCGGGAGGATTACGCAGCTTGCCGGAAGCTGCCGCGGTGTTCTCTACTTCCAGTACGCGTTTCTCACTCTTCTCCTCTCTCTTTCTGTCTCTTTGTTTTTTGTGCAAAGGGCTACCGCTGAAAGACGAGAACGGGCACGAGCACGAGCACAAGCACGAGCACGAACCTTTGGTGCAGGCACGGCAGCACCGCACGGCTATAGCTAATGGCATGTCTTCAGGAGGAATGGGCGGCGTCGGGATACGGCATCACGGTGGAGCGCGTATGAGCCCGCTCGAGATCGGCATGTACGTCCTTCTGGCGGCCTTCTGTTTCGCCATCGTCGTCTTCGTCGTCTCCTGCGTGGTGTACGCGAGCAAGTTCAAGCCACAGCCGCCTGATTCGCCGTTAGCCGGGTCGGCGCTTCCGGTGCTGTCGGGTGCAGCCAGGGCCAGAGCAGCAGCCAACCAGCTTGCATCGGGCAGGAGACCTCCCAGAGAGTCTACCACCAACGCGCACGACTGGGTCTGGCTGGGCAGAGCCACCCTCGAGAGAGCCGCTTGCGGACCGCAACAGGTACGAGGATCGTGGATTCTGGATTTTCCTAATTTCCCAGTTGCCGCTCGCACGACTCATTTTTCACAGACGGAGCTAACATGCTCGCTAACGTGAAAAACCTCCTATTTTCTTTCTTTGAACCTGCGAAATTAAAATGAGACTATTTTGTTTTAATCATTGTCATCAGCTCAAAATTCGATTTAACGTAAGTAGAAAATTCTCGTGGTTCTTTCTCGTATTCGAAAAATGTTGCGTTCGAATTGCGAATTGAGCTGTGTACCACCAACGTGTCGCGACCAAGTAGTACATGCACTTGTTTTGCCAGACATGAACTTGCACGGTTAGATGCCGTGTGAACTGTTTCGTGTAAATCTACATCGTTCGAAAACGCAGTGGCAAATTGCCACGACAACTCGTTTATTTGCCCTAAGGGCAATCGTGACTATGATCGTGACAGTATAATACATGAGCGACGTTAAATCAACATCGACACGTATTTACACTTCTGCGTATCGTATTTTTAAAATACACAACTCGTACGAGTGTATCAGGAAAAACACAAAACTTGGAAGCTTACACAAAAATTGTTTGCCTTGTATTTTACTTTTTACAGCAAAAGAAACAGAAGTTGAAAAACAATGGCCGCGTATTGCTGTTTTTTAATTTTCCAGGCCATTGTTTTTACAAAATGGAGTTTTCAAATGGAGTTTGAATAAAATAGAGGATAGCAATGAATAGTGTATTGGAACGAGTATTATTATTTCAGATAAAGATATTTCTGATGGGAAAAGGAACGTGCTATTTCAAACATGGGACGGTTTCGTTTTATTTTATTATTATATAAAATAAATGTGAATATATTAAAATTGGTTCACGAGTGGGCTATATTTTTGCTCATTCTCGGCCCAACCAGTAGATGAGTAAACCTTTGCCAGAAAATTTCGTTCTTCTAGTAAACATTCATTTTTATTTATTTTATACTCCCTGTTGCACTAATATATCATTCCCCTTAATTACCGAGAAAATTACTGGAATAATTATTAGAGAAACGTACAACTTTGATTTCCTGTTTCTTGTTGTTCTTTTGGGAAACAAAAATCTGACATAAATACTAATATTAATTGGAAGATATTAATTCTCTCCGTATAACGTATAAAATTCATTTCGACCCTGTTATTGTAACCTTTACTTATATTGTAATTTTTAACTAGCTGGAAAATGGTATTGTCGCATATATACGAATTACGTTCGTAAAAATTCGGCGAATACGTCGAAAATTCTTGTCTAAATGTCTCTCGCAAAGGTTCCTGCGAATCATCTAACATCACGTTTAATTCACGTGCTGTGCAATTATACGGGCGGTGATCCTTGAGTTTCGCAACTAGAGCAAACTAAATTGAGAATTCATGTCTCAGGTAAGAGTGACTAGCAACCCTCTGGCTGGCGAGAACGAGGGAGAAGCAGCCGAACTGGCAACTTGCTTCGACAATCCGAACCATATCGAGCTACCATCGGCTGGGCAACGTAGCAATGGATCCGGGCCAATAGATACGACGACTTATTGCAAGAGAGACAAGCTTCCGCGGAACAGTTTCGCGACCAAGCTGGTATCGAAACCATCGACCATGGTGTCGGCAACTACAATCGCTACTCCAGCATCCATGGCTACGTCCACCGTTCCTTCTACGCGAAACGAGTAATTATTTCATTTCATCTCTCAATTATCGATATTTCATCCCTGCTGTTCTGCTCGCGTTTCTGCGATATAGTCGCTCGAGAGATGAATATTATATTTTAGTTATTAAGATAGCAGAGAGTCTCGTGTAATATCGGGGCTCTCTTCGCTGTAATTTGCATTAGCTGCGATAAAAATGAAATTTGAAAAGCTTGAAGAGGTTGATTTACAGTATAAATGGATCTTGATGGACGGAGGGAAATTGCTTTTCTATCGGCGAAGTAACTTTAATAAACGAATGAATAGTCCGTAGGAAGAAAGTGCTTCCCGAGCGGGAAGCTATTTTTATTTTGATTTTATTTTCAATTATCGGACGTAATTTGATTTTAATTATTCGGCAATGTCTTAATTTCAATTTCTCGTCAATTTTTACCAATAGTAACGTAACTTTTATTGTTATTTACGCGTTTTTAATTTTTAATTCTGATTCAAATTAAAGGAATAGCCATACGTGTTAAAAATTTCCGTATTCCATATGAATTTTTATCACTTGGATATAGTTTCTCTTGAAATGAATAAAACAAAAAAAAAAAATAAATATGAATTGAAAAGAAAGAGTGCAAAGACGGGGAAACGGGAGCAGGACAGAAGGATTGAACTCTAAAATCCTGTCGTCGTTATAAATATAATGTAACCCTTTCACCTTAACCCAGCAACGACGATATCCCGCCACCCTTACCACCGCACGGAATCCCCGTGAGCTCGGCGATGGCTTCGGCTGCTGCAGCTGCCGCGACGGCCAACAACAACGGCAACGAGGACTACAAACCGCCGGTGCCGCCTCACAGGAACACGGGGGTGATCGTACGACTGCCGGAAACACCGAGGAAACATCGTCACAGGGCCTCGAGCGGCAGCGCCGGCGGCCACCACGGGAACAACCAACGTCACAACAAGCAGATTCACCATATCAAACCGCACGGTAAAGCTAGAGTAGGTAGTCCGAAAGAAAACGACGCGGAGGAAGAGGAGTTCGTGGAGCTAGTGAATCACGATGACAACAGGCATTCGAAGGACGGGAGAGCCAGAGAGGTGAAGAGGGCGACGATCGTCGGTAATCCAATGTTCTCGTCGTTCTCAACGAACGCGGTCGCCTCGTCGATGAACGTGTCCAGCCCGACCGTGGCCTCATCGTCCTCGTCACCGCCTAACTCGTCGCCGTCCTCCTCCGCCTCGTCCTCGTCAACGTCGTCCGCGTCCTCCTCCTCCTCGTCCTCGTCAACGTCGTCCGCGTCCTCGTCCCACGAGCAAGAGGAATCGGTGGCGCTGGACGATCTGAACCTGGGCATGGACTACAACCAGATCATGCAGTACTTCGACAACCTGAAGGAGTCGAACGCCTAGGTGATGGCGTTCGGCCTCGAAGAAGGCCGAGTAGTCAAGGTCGATGCGAAACCCCGGAAACCTCGTTGACCAGGCAAACGGCGTTACGGATACTTGAACGTAAGCTTGGCCAGAACGTTCTCCGCTTCCTCCTCTCGCCGCGTTAGCACGTTCGCAATGGAGAACCAACCGTTGGCCGAGCTCCACCGCCGTTCGAACGACCGCTCCGGAAGGTTTCGTATTCTATAGGCTATAATCTAGTCAGCTTCCTAGCAGCACATCAAGAGTATCGCGCAAAACGCAAATGGACATAACACGACACGACACGTACGATACAAACATACATACATACATACGTACATACATACATGATCACACGCGTATAGAGAGGAAGACAGACGCGACACGAGACACGCTAGCTATAAAAAGAGCGTGTTCCCGACACCAATCACATATCGCGCGTTCTCTGGTACGTAATAAATAATAATAATACCCGCGTACGTAATAAAAATTAACACACGCGAGCACACGAACATTTCGTACATACGTATTTACGTATATTACACACACGTACACGCGCAGAGGCTTCAAAAGTGTGATCGCCGGTGGCCGGGGCGGGGGCTAGGTAGATCGCGCGCCCGATTCGACCAGTTTCACTCCTCTCCATTTCCTCCTCCATTTCCTCGATCGATCGAAACCTCGCCGATCCTCGCTTCAGCCTCTGTGCGATATCGATCTTTTCGCTCAAGCCTTTTTCCTCACGGCAATCGAACGAGCCCGATTCTCCCCCTTCCCTTCTCTCTTTCTCTCTCGTTCCTGCCACGCGACAGGGCGGGCATTCACCAAAATGCGGCCGGACAAAAACCCGACTCCTCTTTTGTCTCGAGATCGATCCGCGGCCTCGACAGCGACGTTCGAACCGTCGCCGAATGGCGCTTGTCCCTTTTTTCCGCGTCGTCTTTCCGTTCGCTTTTGTGTGTTCATCCATGTGCTCGATCCATCGTCGATTCCTAACGGAAAGATAAAGCTTCTCTCCGCTCTCGTGTTTTTTTTTTTTTCTCCTCATCCCTTCAAGGTTTTTCCGTCGTTTCACCGAGTTTTATTTTTAAACAGTCGCTCGCGCCGAGTCTTCCCGACCGTAAATTCCAGTCGCGGCAACACGAGCCGGCGAAGATCGATATCGAGAGGAGCGACGTCGGCTACCAGGGCCATTTTGCTTCTTCATTCCGATCTACGCCGCGGGGGAAACGATAATGTTTATTCGATCGTTCGTACATCGGAATGTTTGTAAATTTTGCTTTGTAAGACTGTGTACATATATATATTATACATCGCGATCTGGCGCATGTTAATTATGAACTATAACTGATTGCAAAGTTACATTTTTATGGCAAACTGATAGCGCATATCTAATCGCTCGATGGAGCCGAGCGAAAACGCGAGTAAGGGCCGCGTGCATCTTTCTATCTTTCGGCGTTTTCCCTTTCCCCTTAATCCTCCTCGTTTTGTACGAATCTCATCGAATCGCTCGTTTCACGCTCTTCGTACGAACTACCTACTTATCTTCTCGTATCTCGACCTGACATATTCCACACACATGCATGGAAAAAAAAAACGAGAAGAATTTCGTCTTAAGACGAAACGGATCGTTGGGATACCTTATTAACTCGTTAATCGGGGAGATCGAATGAACCCCGCTGAATGTAATTTTCGTAGCATTTCTGTTGAAAGTGAACTATATTTTTTTAGTTATATTTGAAAATCATATTTTATAAAGACGTATCGTCATTGAGTGACGAGTCAATTTTGAATGGTTCTTTTTTTTTTAGTTCAAAAGTCGAACAACGTACTTAACAGAGGTTTGCGATTGTTCCTTCATAAAACCTCTACGAAAATGTAAGTTATCATTTTCTTTTTCCGTGATCTTTATTCAAGGAATGTAGTCGATTTAATTTTGCTTCGTTCCTTGGGTCAGCTCCGACCGATCTATATTTTTCTTTCAATGGGACGAGTCCTCTTTGCATTTTGTGCAAGTCTGAATTTGTTTTTCTTCTTCCTCTTTTGTTCTTTCCTTCTCTTTTCAAGTTGCTCGTCGAAACAACAGCAGGATCACAATGTGCAAGTCAATTAGTTTCTCGTCATTGATTCCTAATTTTGTGATCGCACGAACAGTGTACAGTTAGAGTTAAAGGATGACCTGGTTAACGAGTCAAGGAGGACGGGAGATTATCGGAAGATCTGCGAGCTGCAAAATGGGAAACGCTAATCTCCTAAACGAGCTCGCGCCGGCCCGAGACGCTGCTCCGATATCGCTTTTAATTACCATTCGACCCTCCCCCCATCGATTGGATTCCGCAATTGTCCGCGTACGTGCCACCGGTCGCGAGTGCACGTTTTAAACGCGTCGCGAGTCGGTGCACGTGCTTCCTCGCGTGAATGCAAGCGCAATCGCATTTGTGCCATCGTTAGTTACATCGTAGATGTAATCGTCCTCGTTCATGTTCGTCTATACATACATACATACATATATACATATACACTTGTACACCCAGAGAGAAAGAGAGACTGGAATGGAATAAGTCCACGCGCGCGCGCGCGTGTTTGTGTGGTGTGTGTGTGTGTGTAAGAGAAAGAGAGAGAGAGAGAGAAAGAGAACGAATGAATGGATTAGAGAGATATGCAAACTACACGCACACCTTATAGCCTTCGTTCTTCCGCACCGATTTGATTTCCTCTTGCGAATCCAATCGCACTCCTCCTTCCTCCCTGCCATCCTAAGCAGTTATTCGACAGGCTCGACCCGTACTCCAAATTTTTTTTAAAGTCAATACAGGAGTTCTTTTCTTTCTTTTTTTTTTTTTTCAGGAAGAAAGAGCTTCCCTTTTGTTTACTTCTTCTTTGAATTCATTTTACCTATTGTACCTATTTGAATAGGTATCTTAAATTCTGTTCGAAATTTGGTATTTTCGTAGTCACGGGCAATCGTTTATTTCAATTATATAAATAAATCCGGTATGAAGACTGAAAAATTTAGAAAAGAATTGTTCTTCTTACATATCATAATACGTACAGTGTTCATTATCTTGAATTGAGAAACGGTGAGCATTTTAATTTTACGAATCAGCTCTCATTCTCTGAATCAAATCGAGGAAATACGATGATTCGGAATTTGAATCTGTGCATATATATTTGTTGCTTTCTTCAACATGGGCCTGTTTATATAGAAAAACGATCGAAGAATCTTCGATCGAAGACCGATCAGCGAAGGTGCGCAAAAATCGTAACAATCCGATCTATAAATCCACGCGATCCCTAAGGGGTCGCTCTATCTTATATAGGCATTTAAGGACTACGTGTCTAAGTATGTATGTATCTGTAAGTTGTGTGTTAGCATGTCAAGCGTGAGATATAGAGATGTAATGCCGATGAACACTTGAAAAAGGATAAAAAAAAAAAAAAGAGAGAAAGAGAAAAGACGCCCGAGTCGGCGTTTAGAGGACGCGAAGGCACGTCAACCCTTTGCGAAGAAGAGATTTTTTTCTTATTTATTTATTTTGTTAATGATATGTCCTTTGCCGAAGACTCTGATCTTTTTTAAATTGAGACATTTGATTGATTAGAAATATAACGTTACTTTCCATTTTGTACTAACATTCCTTTATTTCCTTAATTCGAACGTCGCGGACGAACATGTTCTCACCCTAAACGCTAGCGAACTACCAAAGTGATCGAGATAAAGCAGTTTAAATAATAAATTCACAACGATGCGATTTTTATACGTTTCATTGACCTTTTGATTGATGCAAGCTTTATAAACTGTAGTCGTCGGTAGTTCCAGCGTCGAGGGGTGCAGCAAAGGGTTAAAGGGTGCCGCAGACAACGTAAGATACCCCGCCGAGAATCTAGTCTTATAGCGTAACTAATGCATTAATTATTAAATACTAATGAAAACGCGAAGCGCGATCTACATTGCCTTTCGCCTGACTATTACTATACGTATCCTCGAATCGTCTGGCGGGGTGAAGTGGCGGTTGTTTTCGCAGCTCTGCCCGCGGCCATCGTTTTCCCTTTTCCCTCGAGGAGCAATCGAGAGACGACTCATCGCGCCATCGAGACAGCGGGACGTTAAAACGAATCAATCATATCGAGTACCGTGAGAAGTGAGACAACAAACGCTAATTTACTCTTAAAATTAGAACATACGCCAGGGAATCTCGTCCTTCGGACGAGACGAGCACGGAAAGAAAGAAAGAAAGAAAGAAAGAAAGAAAGGAAAACATCAATCCCCCGTAGGACGAGGAATCCCGCGCAGAGCCGGAAAAAAATAGTATTTACGATAGAAAATAGTGGAGTGCTTGCGAAGCTGTTTCGCGCGAAACGAAC